TTTTCAACTTGACATATGTCCAAATGTTTCGTGATACTATCAAAAAAAACTAAATTAGGTCAAATTATCTCACATGATAAATTTTTGTTTAACCTTTCTTAGTAAACATCGAGTTGAAAAATGCGTATCTTATTCAAATAAGTGTTAAATTAATAAAACTAATCCCGATCGAAGATAACGTGAAGCTGTTAAAGCAACTGGAGTGGTTCAGCATAAGAGAATTATGTCATCAATTGTCTGCTGTAAGATCCAACTATTGGGACCAACAAATTGTGAATAGCATCAGTAAATAAGATGGAAACGTAGTCATTTAACAGATTACTTTTAGTTCAGGAAAAAGACGTATCTATCTCAACAAGTTGGCAGAAGAAGCTTCAAAGATAGGACTTCAGACGAACATAAAGAAAACAGAGTTCATGTAGATTCGTCGCCAACAGCAACACCAACAACAATAGACTACAATCAGCATAAATGAAAGAAATCTGAAAGATGTAACCTCCTCTACCTACCTACCTACCGACCGACCTATCCGGGAAGCACCGTTTCAAATACAGGTGGACGGAACTCACGAAGATACCAAAGCAGCGAGGAACGGGAAAGCAAGGAAAGCTTTCATTACGCTTAAGTCTGTATGGAGATCAACAACACTCAGTATGAAAAGTAAGATGCGGATTTTCAGCTCCAATGTGAAGTCAGTGCTACTTACTATACGAATGGTTCAGAGACTTGGTGCCACGTCACAAAGGCCACTTCGAACAAACTACAGGCCTTCATTAACAGTTTTCTTCTCTCAATACTTTGCTCAAGATCAGATGGGCGGCCAAACAAGATTGGCGACAGGGAGTGATATCTGGGAGCGAACCAACCCAGCAGGAACCAATTGTGCAACAAATATGCAGGAGGAAATGGAGGTGTATTAACTATACTCTGAGGAAACAAATCATCAAGTGAGTGACATCCACCACTCGCCAGACCATCGGTCGAGTAGAACCCTACCGATTGGGAAGCAGTGAGGGTGGGGTGACATGGAGGAAATGATGAGAAGAGGAGATGAAAGCATGTGGACAGACGTGGAACCAGGTGATGAAAACGTTGGCAGAGAATCGAACGCAATGGAGACGTTCGGCTGAAGCCCTATGTTCCTCTAGGAATTAAAGGAAACAATAATAATAATAATCTCAACAAGCACCAATCAGTCGCTATCATCCAGGGAATAAATTTTGAAAGAAGCCAATTCTTCCATTTATCTAGGCAACATCGTTTCAACTACAGGCGAAACGGAGGAGGATGTCAAAACCAGAATCGGAAAGGCGAGGTAGATCTTCATCACTACGAGATTAGTCCTGAAATCTTCTGCATTCAGTCAGCATAGGGAACAGAATCTGGATTTTTTGAACACGGATGTTAAGTCAATCAGTTCTTCTATATGGATCATAAACTCCCACTGAACATCAAGAAAAGCACTTTCAATAGGCTACTGCAGACTGTATCTCTGGTTCCATGATAAAGATCAAAAGGTCAGAAAGAGTTTGGAGCAAGAAACTCTGAGAACGAACCAACTGAGAACCTGTTCCGGCGAAAACGGCGATGGATCGTGGGCAATGGAGGCCATTGTTCGAGTGGAAGCTGGATGGGAAATGACGATTCGGGCATGTGATCAAGAGTGTGACATGGAGGTGATAGTGTGAGGAGAAGATGAGAGCTTATAGGAAATCTTGTTGCCATGTGAAGAGGAAAGAATGGAAGCTTTATGTTCCACTCGGAACCCAAGGGAATAATAACATCTCAACTACTAATCTCCCTGGCTTCACCTAAAAAAAAATCTACTACAGTAGGAAAATCGTATGTGAGTTATTGTTAGTACTCAGTAATAATAATTATTATTATTTATCCTTATAAAAAGACATCTGATAAGTCAAATTTATCTCTCTCTGTATATACGTAAAGATAATAAAAAATAGAAAAGGCAGTTTCACGGATAAATGTCAAATACACGAAGATAATAAATAATTAACGGAAACTATTCTAAATCAACATCACCATGGTGACTGTTGAATAAGAGTTACCTGACTTCTTCTGAAAGTTTCTTTTTAGGTGTATGTATATAACTGTCTAGAAAATTTCAAAAGCCTATAAATTAGAAGGTATACTTGGATATGTAATTTGCTGTCAAGCAGTAAGAGATGTTAGAGGATAAGAATATCACAAAAAGACACACAATAGATAGTTCCAGCAAAATCTGTGTTATAGAATTTCTGTCATCGAACAGCTTGTTTGGTATGTATGCACTTTTATTTATTGGTAGGGAAGGTTCACTTTTACTGCTTAGTCAAAACGAAAATTACGCGTTGGTGGTCCAACAATTGGTCCGGATTCAATTCCCGGTAGTAAGCCTGTAGGAGAGAAAAGGTTGGGGGTGAGGCTAAGAACTTCATCCCCTTAAAAATAACAATACCATCACCACTGGAACTTTGAAGATGGAAACTCTATTATTTAATTCAGTTTGGACTTCCCCAATGAATAACTGGACCGAAGTGCTCGGTGTCTATGCTGACACGTTGACTCCTTGTGCGATGCTTCGACGATATCTGAGGATTTAACCTGAAGTAATCTGGTGAATGATGGCTAGCAGTGGGGTCCAGGAAGTAAGTTTCGTTGTATTTGGGACTCGTCATCAGTTGAATGTGCCTGCGTTTCCCAGTCAGTGATGGTGTTCCCACAGAGACTCGAACCCAGTGCCCGTTGTTTCAAACGTAAAAGCGTTATCCACTAGACTACTTGAGCTACGACAGCCACCTGTTGTGCGAAAAATATCAGTTATTATTTAATTCATTTGGGACTTCCCCATTGACCGAAGTGCTTGGCCTCACCAGAGAGTGCAGGTGCATCCAGCTGATGAGTCCTCAAAAGGACAGCCGAAATGAGAATCCTGGATGCCACTGTTAGCTGCCATCCAATAAATTACTTCATGGAAACCCTATTATCTACCAGGAACGCAAGAGAATGGAAAAAAGCAACAACAAAAATCAAAACAAATTAAGGTAGAGCAAAGTAATGCTTATTGAAATACGGAGAGTGGAGAAAAGATGTATGCTCACAAGCAAGTTATCTGTTCTGATGAAACCATAATGAAACTCTATTTCAGGATTTGGACTGCTATGATAGTTACAATATCAATATTACAATAATATTACTGTGCCTATTTATTATTACTCCCTTGGGTTCCTAGTGGAACATGGGGCTTCAACGATACATCTCCACTTTCTTCTATTTTCTGCCATCCTCTTCATCTGGCCACACAATTGCTCATAATCTCTCATTTCCTCCGCCTCGCACGATCTCCACTATGTCACGCTCGCACCGATGACCTACTCATTGCTTCCCATTGGGATTCCACTCGAGCGATGGCCTGCATTGAGCGTGATGTCATTCGATGACCTCTTCAGTGCGTACTCAATCCATCTCCATTTTCCTGACCCGTATGGAAGAACTGACTGACTAACTTCACATTTCTGTTGAAAATCTGAATCTTCTTGTTTATGCTGACAGTGCAGGAGATTCCCAAACTGGTTTCAGGTTGATATAGGTGTATCTTGCCTTTCCGATTCTGGCTGGCTGCCTGGCTCGTGAGTATTTAAAATGTCTACAACCTACTGATTCGCAGGTTTCTACTAACCTTAATAAATAGCATAATCGTGGGTGGCGACGTATTGCAGTAAATGAGATTTTTAGTGAAAACAGCGAGTGCCTGAGAAATGAAATTAGTTACCTGCAATCTTCATTTATTGAGGTATTATTCTGTCCTTGGGTCTAAAAATGTACTCCCTCATCTTTTTCTTTAATTGCCTTTCAACCAAATTTCGCACATTTCCAGAAGGAGGCGTAGAAGAAGAAATATCATAATGGATTGGTTCGTAGCTTCACGTGAGATAGAGATGTGTCAGACGATTCAGTTATTATTTTACTTAAAGATCCAGGACACAGAGAGACTATTATGCAATCAATCTCCACTGAAATTTTTATACATTATATAAATACCGTTGAGAATAAGGCGATTATTATTATTATTAAAAGACAAAAAAGTGGGGGTAATGGACTGAATTCACTGATGTGTCCGATGTATTCAAATAACTAAAAGATGTTTAGATTTAGAAACGATCAACTGACGAAGTAAAAATTTATACAGAGTTAGTTTCAGCCTTATTCCAGCAAGCAGACTAGCGAATTAAAAGACAGGTGTGTGAATATACAGCTAATAAAACATATCATGCTGATATTTTTGATTGCATACTAGTCAGTAGCTAGTGTAATGTGTCTAGTCTCATCTTCGCCGCAGACTGAATTCTATCAGTCATGTTTGCAATGTGGCCACCATGCTAGGTGGCTCGCCATTACGGTGCACTGTGAATTGTTGGTATTAGATGGCTGGAGGCAATCGGCGACAGGAAGCCTTGGACCTAGGTTTCGTGCTAGTTGGCACTCATCAGCAGGGCATAGCTGCAGCCTTGAAGGAATTCATTACGAGCCCGAATAGCTCAGTAGTAACTTCTCTGACTGCAGCACTGGGTGACGCGGGTTCGAATCTCAGAAGGGACATCAGTTCCTTCAAGGTTGCAGATACGCCTCTCTGATGAGTGCCAACTAGCACGAAACCTAGATCAAAGGCTTCCTGTGGCCGATTGCCTCCAACCATCTAATATCAACATATCATTCTGAGTATATGATCATTGTCATGTAGGCCAACATGTGAGTAAACAAACTTTACAAGGGATTAATACATTACAGAACTGGTAACATGAAGGTATTCAATTCATCGAATGATGAGTGGACCAGTTATTGCTTTCATTTTACTGTTTCTCAGCTGTTTTAATTATTTGTAATAATACTTAATAATGAGGTTAATAATCGCATAATTATTGTTTGTTTAGTGTTTTATAATTTCTTAATTTATCCTAACGTACTAATCACTTTTATTGCATAACACAATTTACAGATTGTAGCACCAGCATTTCCAGTCATTGTGAAAGTTGGACATGGTCATCGTGGCGAAGGCAAGGTGAGTGAATGGATCAGATCCTTTTGTATAATAACGTATTCAGTTCTCTCATATTATATATATATATATATATATATATATACTGATTGAAGATGGGCATTAAACATTTAAACGACTGGTTAATGAACCGGTTCTACATTTATATGACCAAATAATTAAGGAAATATTCTTTATTAGAGGCCGAATGAGTCGAAAAGAATTCTTCTGAATCTGTTAAGATACCTCCGTATATATATATATGACCACAGTTCGAAGGTGATGTATCAATTGAAATAATAGACAAAAAATTGATAGATTCTATTCAAAGAAGATTTAATCCCAATAAGCTGCAGCTTATGTTTTCCACACAACCGGTTGTGATTCCAAAAGTGAAAGATGAAGTACCTAAACTAATTCCTTCTAATTGTATCTATCAATTCATCTGCCCCTGTGGAGTCAGATATATTGATCGTTGCTCTGGAAACTTGACTTTTCAAACTCAGGAACATCTACCAATGTGGTTAAATAAAAGTGTGTTGAAAAGGCGTCGACAATTCTATACTGGATAACTTTGTTCAAACAGGTGACAAATAGCTAGCCACATTAAAGAATCTTTCTCTATCATCTACTGGGTATCGAATAAATTAGCAAAAGCCTCTAGGTACCGAACACTTCAAACAGTAGAAGCCATTGTAAATCGACTGGATCTCTGTGTGCAAAGGAAAGCCTGGCCTTTTGTAGAACTTATAAATTCATAAATCCCGCCTTACTTCCCTTAATTTACCTGATATTCAGTCAGATTAGTGTTATATTAAGTGCATATTGTCTTTCCCTCTCTCTCTCTTACTGATGCTTTTCAAATGAAGTCTGTCAATATTACTGATTCGATGCAATTTATAACAGCATCAATGTTGTTAATAAGAATTTTTATAAAATTATTATGTTCATATTAATGTAGAACCTGATGATGACTGTATAAAGAATAATACTTTTTGTTCACTAATCAGTCTTACATTTATATATATTTATATATATTCAAGTATTGGTTTTGTGAGGATTTTGTTTGATTGATTGAAGGATTTAATCATGAGCTGACATCGGTTAGAGAACCATTGGGAAACCTGAGGGTAATGGACAGCTGCTTCGTCTTAGTTTGGCACTTTTCATCAGTTCACACTCACCGATAGGGTTCGAACCCAGAACCTTCTGGTTACAAGGAAAGGCCATAGACTACTCGGCCACTGGGACCATGAGTTTCGACTCCCACCAGTTCGTGATTTTAGCGCAACGACAAGCCAATGTCATCGGTGAGTATTTGTCCTCACATCGCCTTTCTGGTGGTCCCCATACTGTTCATGACTTTCTCCTGGAACTGCTAGCAGCTTCGTCGTCATGTAGCCCAGTCACCGGCGAGCATCAGATTGATTTTCAGGAGTTAATTTGTAGAGGTATGTATGATCACGGATTGATGATGCCAGTTAGAGAAAACAGTTTGTTAACGCCCTCCTACTAATGCCTAAAAGTTATGGCATTATTATTAGTATGCAAAAGACAATCTGTAACTAACTTATTTTAAAGAATTGTATATTGTTTGTGTGTAAACATTCATCATAAAAATAATTATTTTCAAAGTACACCAATTTTTGCTAAATATGACTAATCTATAACCAGCTTCCTTATGCGATAACCGGGAAGGGTTATTCATAGTTCGATTAGCAGAGAGATTATAAGGAGGCTATTAAAGCAACATTAAAAATCTGATAATAAATTAATGAATTCTACAGTTGTGAGACTTCAAAAAGAACTAGGTTTCTACTATACCGTTGTAACATATAAAACCCATGTGTTGTGATGTGAATGCAGGAAATTAATCTATTCGTTCTCCTGCATAGCCCACTAAAACTTCCTTCAATTTCTAACAGTTACAAAATGTACCACCACCAACAACAACAACGAAATAACGCTTGCTTGAGATAAGATCCATGATACTATTCCACAATAATAAAATCAAAAACTCAAAATTACCTCAACAGTCCTGTTAGGCAGCTGTACAGGTCAGATAACTTTCTTGAGTAAAAAACAAGTCACTATACAGCAGAATTGTTTAACCAAAATTCAATCGTAAGAAGTACCTGAGAATCAAGAAGAATTATTCCCACCAAGGCGGAATCAAATCTCTGTCAGCTAGAATCACGCGCTAAGCAATTTCCTCAGACGCTCCAAAATGAGGATGACTTTGAGTCACTGAAACAGAATCGCAGTTGTGAAACAATACATTTTCAGTATCATCAACATACAAGGGCAAAGAGAAGCACTAAAATTAGAGATTACACAGGAACAAACAGAAATAATATGGTTTAGGACGACAGATGAAATGCAAACGTTAGTATAGTGATATACAGACTAGGAGAAAAAGGGAGAATGATTACAAACTTATCTGGAACATCCAAACAGGCATCAGTATTGTAATTAGATCGTTCAGTAAGGAATTTCCAATCCTTTAGTCGGTTACAACTGCCTCGCAGGCCTATCTTGCTGTGTCGTGAAATTTTGGTTTACAAGTCTGAGAAAAGAATACAGTAACGTTCCAACTCTTCATTTTTCATCAAATATCTTCCATTTTATTTCAGTCTTCGACGAGAACTTCTTTCCAAAAAATCAACCATTTAGAAATGCCTCAACTTATTGTAATTACTAGTTTCCAGCGCACAGGATAACAGCCGTCACATTCCACTAATAAGACAGACAGGCAGGCATTTGGTTGTAAAGTAAAAATGTTGTGTGAGTGACTTGATATGATTATGAGCAATAGTTTGTGCTCGAAACGCGGTCATCAGTAAATATTACTGTATAACAACACTGTATGATTAATTCCCAAAATAAAATCTTATCCATAATGGTATTATACTCTACTACAGTGCCCAAGTTTTATGCTTACATCAATAAGGCATTTGGTTTATCTTCAGTGTGTGAAAAAGCTTCTTATTTATCCGAATGTCTTTTCCTATCGTCATTGTTAGTCTTCAGCATCATTCACTATAAAGCTGAACTATATGATAGCTCACAACGAATATTAACAATGACTTGTACTATTTTTAAGATGAAGCATAACAATTCACTTGGTTTATTAAACACAACCAAATAAAGAAATAATTTCATACAGCCTGTTCCCTTTATTAGTTTGAATAAAGAAAGAACGAATATATTCGCAGGATAATATGAGCTCGTTTTACTTCCTGGATTCTCTCTCTTTAGTTGCGTACATCCTGAAAAAATCAATTATATGTTACAAAATCGTGCCTGAACATACCTTTTACAATGACGTCAAGTTATACATAGAAAGTGAAAGCAACATAATTTCAAAGATATTGTAAATAGACAATTATTCAGTGCTAAAATAAATAACTATTTATGTAGTGATTAAACAAAGGGGTAGAATTCAGATTTCTCTTAAAAACAAGGATGAACTAGACACAAATTACGAGATAGAACAGCAGAGTGAATTTATACGTATTATGATGGGGAATTCATGAGGGTGGGGATGGATAATGAAGTCAAATTGTAAAATACATAAAATAATTCAATGTAGTAGATTAAGAACCTCAGTGAGTGAAAATCAAGATCAAAATTTAGTGGAATGTTATGCAACAGAAAAAACAAAAAGCACAGGAACAAAACAATTACGCTTGCCTGGGTAGTGAGATATTAGTCACACTATCTTTCTGTGTGCATAGGTTGGGTCGAAGTTTTTTGATGGCAATGGCTTCTGCGGACCAAAGTAACCATGTTTGTCTTTATGTATTGATTATTTTGAAAGCCTGACTAATTTCCACTATATGTCCCGTGTCAATTAAATGTCTGGCATTCGCACTTGAGAACACTTTGCTGCCTTTCATATGGAGACTTCTAGGTATACTCTGGGGAAGGCTAGTAGACGTTCTCCTCTCAGTCTTTTCTATGTACTCACTGTCACAAGTGAAAGTAAATCGGTAGATGCAGTTGAAGTTGACATGATAAGAATACTAATCTAATTTTGACTGAGTTTACGAGCATACGATTTTGTAAAGTGGAATGAATCCAGCAGCGAGGAATGTTTTTTTCAATGCACCTTTGTTTGTACTTTCCGTTCTTATGGATACTTCTTCGCCTTTGTAAACTAGACAGATAAAAACTGTTTTCTTTTCAACTATATCGGGTTTTGGTGTAAGTGGTTTCTCCTTCCCATATTTTGACATGAACTTACGAGCGTATCCATTTTCGATAAGGTTCTTTTCATTGACTGCTAGTTTCTCTTCAATCTTATCTTCTGAACAAAACGCCCTGGCTCTTCTGATGAGAGTTTTCACCAGGCTTCGTTTGTAAGCCATTGCCCAGAAACTGTCATAATTCAAGTATTGGCCAGTCCAAGTTTCTTTCCCGTAGACAGATTTTTCAATTGTCCTATCATTTCTTCTTTTTTTAATGCCGAAGTCTGGGAAGTGGAACTGATTGTCACGTTCATGGTCCATTGTAAATTCTATGTGAGGATAAGCCACATTGAGTTTTACAAACATTGTGGATTTGTGATCCATATTGTTGCAAACCACAAATGTGTCATCAAAATATTTGCAGTAATAGGTGGTCCTCTGTATTTCCGGCTTCATTCCTGTCTGTTCAAGATGAGCCATGAATATGTCCGCAAGAACAGGACCAAAATGTGAACCCATAGCCGATACAGCTGGTCGCTGATTCGGAATTGGACGGTCTTTGTACAAGGAAGTAGTAATTTCAGTAATTAAAATCCGGCAAAAGTGAAACTAACTTTAAATTTCATAAGATACTATTTTATTTTGTTGTAACACATTGAAACAATAACTCATAGTGTTATTTATTCACATTTTACATGATACATAACTGTTTTCACATTTATCCTTTCAAAAATCTTTCAAATACAATACAGGTGAAAGCTGATACACCATTTATATATCAAGATTTAGTTGGCCTTATGATTTCTGGTCAGACATACGCTACCACGGAACCGTTTGTCGATGCAAATTGTGATCTTCATGTACAAAAAATTGGTACTAATTATAAAGCATTTATGTAAGTTTTACTGTCTATTAGTTATTTTAAATTTAGCGGTTTATATGTGACATTGGATTAATTAATAAAAACAAAAAAGCCTCTAACAACATCACTATGCCGTTGAAATATTTTATCCTTCTAAGTACAGTTTTTAGGGTTGAAGTATGAAATTTCGGAAGAAGAAGACGGAGAGAGCCTAACCTACATCATATGAATGCTTAAACCACTGAAAGCCGACTGTCATTTCAAAGTCATTCAGGAGGATGAATCACTCACTTCATGATCTCTTGTAGGAATTTTCACCAGAGTTCTATCATTTAACTCCTTTATGGATAAGATTTTATTTTAACTCACACAGTGTTGTACAGTAATATTAACTGATGACGTTTCGAGCACTAACTATTGCCACTCATAATCATATCATGTCACTACTCACACAACTTTCATTCATTTATATGCATGTGTGGAATCGATTAGATATTTGAATAAAAATAAGTAGGAGATAACGTACATTCAAAAATAATAGTACGAGTGTTACTAATCCATTACAGTTAGATGGTAAAAAAGACGAGTGTTTTTATAGTCGTAATAGGTTAATTGTTAGAATGTTATGATGTGCTTGTCAAACCTACAAACTCACTCAGGGACAAGCTCTGTAGGTTAAAGGACCCTGTTGACCCAATTAAACAAAATAATATAATTTACAAAATACCCTGCAATGACTGTGAAGTCAATTACATAGGTCAGACTAGTAGGTCGGGGGTTATCAGATTATCAGAAAATAAGAATTTAGCTGAGGGAAGAATAGTTGACCTTGAAAAGATAAGTAATTTAGAAAAAAGCTCGGCAATTGCACTTCACGCATTAACGAACAACCACACAATAGGGTGGGATAGGGTTAAAATTCTAAAGAGTAACATAGGTAGGTGGATAGAGAGGTTGACTACGGAATCCTTGTTCATTGAGTCTACACCCAATACATGCAACAGAAATGACTCAATGCAAGTACCAGAAATATGGAAGGTATTATCACCTCCTGTCAAATCAGAAGAGAATAATAAATAATCTTAAAATTCTATTTCAATTCAAACACATCAAAACATTCTAACAATTAACCTATTACGACTATAAAAACACTCGTCTTTTTTACCATCTAACTGTAATGGATTAGTAACACTCGTACTATTATTTTTGAATGTACGTTATCTCCTACTTATTTTTATTCAAATATCTAATCGATTCCACACATGCATATAAATGAATGAAAGTTGTGTGAGTAGTGACATGATATGATTATGAGTGGCAATAGTTAGTGCTCGAAACGTCATCAGTTAATATTACTGTGCAAAACTGTGTGAGTTAAAATAAAATCTTATCCATAATGGAGTTATGCTCTACCACAGTGCCCAAGTTTTATACTTATATCAATTCTATCATTTAATTCAATTTTAGATTTTCCTGTCGATTGATTGAACCGAATTGCTTAGTCTCAGGTTGACATTCGGCTCCTTTTGCAGATGTTTCGATTGGTAGATGGTGACTAGCAGTACATTCCAGGATGAGCATTTCTACTGTCCTATTTGGGACTCGTCAGCCGGATGTCCTGCAAGCTCCAGTCAGTGGTGGTGTTTCTACTGAGGCTCGAACCCAGTGCCCATAGTTTCAAATGACAAAGTGTTATCCACTAAACATTTTGGGCCACGAGAGCTGGCCACCTCTTGTGCAACGGATCATATTAATTAGTTGGAGGACTTCATCATTAGATGACATCATTTCGAGGACCGTTGGTAAACCAACAGGAAGTACTTGACTGCCAGCTGTCTCGTCAGCCTAGTTTGAGACTCTTCATCAGAAAGCACTCGCCGGGGTTCGAACCCAGGACCTTCTGGTTACGATGCGAGCTCGTGAACCATTAAGCCACTGGGACCCGATCTAATGGTCAGTCCATGATTTCTAACTTCTTCCAATTCAGGATATAGCGCGACCACTTCGCAATGTCATCTTCGGTGAGCTACTGTGTCATTTTAATTAACCGAGCACTTCGGTCCAATCAATCGACAGGAAAATCCAAAATTGAATTAATTAATTAATCAGTATGGCCCGTTGCACAAGAGGTGGCAGGTCTCGTGACCCAAGTGGTCTAGTAGATAACGCCTTGCAGTTTGAAACCAAAGTCCCTAGGTTCGAGCCCCCATCACTGGCTGGAGAACGCAGGTGCATCCAGTTGACGAGTCCCGAATACGACGAAATGAGCATCCTGGATTCCACTGCTAGTCACCATTCACCAGTTGACTTCTAGAGTTCTATCAGTCTGTAATCCTATAACTGTCACAAATTTCTTTTATTTCTTTAAGTTCCTAATGGAACTCAGGGCTTCAAGAAAGACCTTTGAAGTTCCATTAGCAGTGGTGTTTATTTTTACAGGGTGAGGTCGCTAGCCCCATGCTCAACCTTCCCTCTTTACCCATCTTGTAACCGGTTAAGTGGAGTAAATAAGTGCGTCAGAAGAACATCGAACCCCGGATTACATACGTGGTTGGTGAGCATTCTACCGCTGTACCACTGAGACTGTAACAGACGCCTAACTCGTCGTTTACTACTCGGGTTCCATTTAAGCGATGGTCTGGCGCTCGATGTTATTCAAATAGTCTTATCCATGTGTTTCCCATCCATTAGGGCCATAGGTTCTTCGTTGGTGTATCCAGAGAGTTCCGCGTAGATAATTTTGTTTGGTTGACCATTGGATCTTCAGTGGTGCCATAAGACAGTTGAAAAGGTTTGATAAAGAAGTGCGAAACCTAATAGTGCTGAAACAGTCTACAAATTACTTAACAGTCAACGTTGTTGGAGGCCTTTTCAAAATTAAATGTAACTGAAGTAGACAGAGGACTTGACTGCCATTCCATCCTCTGTTCGATGCCGTTGATAATTAGTAGATTTTTGTAAATTGATCCGTACGTGATTTGCTTTCCCTAAATCTAACTTGTTCCCATAGCAGTTCTGAAGTTAGTACATCTGTTAGTCCCTCCAGTTCGCTTGACGTGCACAAAATACAGTTAAGTCTAACTGTAGACAGATTAATTAGTAGTTGGATTTTAATACTAAAAAATACTAATACTAGAACGTCACTGACTTTCACTACACTTAAAAGTGTCAGTTAACCACAACAGCTATTCTCTTTCAACGAGAACAACAAAATGAAATTATCATTATTTTTCGATTAACCTGTCATATCTCTTCATCTTTCATAAATCAATATGTAATTATTGATTTTCAAGTTTGCTATTAGTCTGGTGAAAATATGATTTTAGATGAATTATTATTTTCAAAAGAATGGTTGGTTACTGAACAAAGAAAACTCTTTTCGATAACGTCTTCATCATCTGGTTCTACAGTTATATCCACACAATAATGAATGAATGAATTAGTGCTATTAACAACATTAATGTGGTTTAAATAACACCAAATCAATAGTATCACTTGGAAACATTTATTTCCCGATACGAATTTAAAACAAGCAATAAAGGTTAATAAAGCAGGATTTAATGAATTCATCAAATTTCGGTAGAACTCATCAGCTGAATACTCTACATACGCGGATATATATACTGTTGAAATTACATTGGGAGACATAAGACTGATAAGTAAACAAACTACATTGAATTAGTCATGCAGAAAGACAAATGCGAATGTTTTCCAGATCATGTTCAAATAGATAAGGGAAGAGAGAGTATGAGAGATCAAAATTAAGATAAATTGCATTACGTTTCAATTACATCACTTAGATAAACAATTAGACATTAGAAAATATAACAAGAATTGCAACCAGTGGGATGTCAATAGTAATGGTTATAATAACAATAATAATAATAGTGTTGAAGTGAGTTAAGATAATCCTACTGATAAAGGATAGTTTAAACTGAATCAAGAATAGTAATAATAAAAATAATTATAATAAGAGGTAGAATTATAAGTAAAACGTATTACCATGGTAGATTCAGAGTCACGACCATCTCCTTTTGTACACATAGAACTGGTTTATAAACTCCAATTGCACAAGCCTCTGCAATTGCAAGCATCTTCTTGTTTCTTTGTCTGCTGACAATGGTGAATGACTTAACCGCGTCGATATCATGCCCGTAATCCACAAGATGCTTTGTTATTGAGGATTTCGGCACTTTGAACTCAGCTGTTTTCAACCATTTTGGTAAATGCTCCATCATGCGAGTAGACAATCTCCTTTCCGTACGACCTATGTAATAAATGTTTCCAAACAAGAAGATGCTTGCAATTGCAGAGGCTTGTGTAATTCGAGTTTACAAACCAGTTCTATGTGTACAAAAGGAGATGGTCGTGACTCTGAATCTACCATGGTAATACGTTTTACTTATAATTCTACCTCTTATTATAATTATTTTTATTATTACTATTCTTGATTCAGTTTAAACTATCCTTTATCAGTAGGATTATCTTAACTCACTTCAACACTATTATTATTATTGTTATTATAACCATTACTATTGACATCCCACTGGTTGCAATTCTTGTTATATTTTCTAATGTCTAATTGTTTATCTAAGTGATGTAATTGAAACGTAATGCAATTTATCTTAATTTTGATCTCTCATACTCTCTCTTCCCTTATCTATTTGAACATGATCTGGAAAACATTCGCATTTGTCTTTCTGCATGACTAATTCAATGTAGTTTGTTTACTTATCAGTCTTATGTCTCCCAATGTAATTTCAACAGTATATATATCCGCGTATGTAGAGTATTCAGCTGATGAGTTCTACCGAAATTTGATGAATTCATTAAATCCTGCTTTATTAACCTTTATTGCTTGTTTTAAATTCGTATCGGGAAATAAATGTTTCCAAGTGATACTATTGATTTGGTGTTATTTAAACCACATTAATGTTGTTAATAGCACTAATTCATTCATTCATTATTGTGTGGATATAACTGTAGAACCAGATGATGAAGACGTTATCGAAAAGAGTTTTCTTTGTTCAGTAACCAACCATTCTTTTGAAAATAATAATTCATCTAAAATCATATTTTCACCAGACTAATAGCAAACTTGAAAATCAATAATTACATATTGATTTATGAAAGATGAAGAGATATGACAGGTTAATCGAAAAATAATGATAATTTCATTTTGTTGTTCTCGTTGAAAGAGAATAGCTGTTGTGGTTAACTGACACTTTTAAGTGTAGTGAAAGTCAGTGACGTTCTAGTATTAGTATTTTTTAGTATTAAAATCCAACTACTAATTAGTCTGTCTACAGTTAGACTTTACTGTATTTTGTGCACGCCAAGCAAACTGGAGAGACTAAAAGATGTACTAAACTCAGAACTCCTGTGGGAACTAGTTGGATTTAGGGAAAGTAAATCACGTACGGATCAATTTACGAATCTACTGGTCATCTTCATTATCATCATCGAACGGAGGATGAAATGGCAGTGAAGTCGTCTGTCTACTTCAGTCACATTTAATTTTGAAAAGGCCTCCAACAACGTTGACTGTTAAGTAATTTGTAGACTGTTTCAACACTATTAAGTACCCCATTTCTTTATCAAACCGTTTCAACAGCTATATCACAATGCTGCGTGTCAGGTGATCCACAATGTGAAACTCGGCGAGGAGTTTTAAGTGAATACAGGAGTAAGACAAGGCTGCCTGCCTATTATCATCGATGATATTCCTGAGTTTGGTGGACTGAATCATGCGGCGCACCATAAGTGGGGAGTGAGAAGGCAAGAATACGTTAGGCCGACAAAAGGACTCTAGAGAATTTGTGCTTCTTGGACGATGTATGTCTAGTGTCACACACATCCGAACAATTACAGGCCGAAGAATTCACTTCTTTTACTTTTCTAAGCAGAGTTGTTCAAGCTTCAAGGAGACAGAACGGGTGAGAATGTCATAAACAGCCAGAATCACAAAGGTGAGACAGACCTTTACTGGTCTGAAATCAGTTAGTAAATCTGCTCCACTACGTAAGAATAAAGAACAAGATGCAGATTTTCATTACCAGTGTTCAGTCACTTCTTCTGTATATGGGTTAGAAACCTGGAAAGCATTTCCAACAAGATTCAGGCTTCTAACGATGACTGTCTTCACTATCTCGATTCTGAAGACCAAGGCAGTCTGGCAACAGGGCAATCAAGAAGCTAATGTCCAGCAAATATACGGAAGAGAATGAAGGAAATGTGAATCGGCGAGTTGGGCGTGTGTCCCACATGAATGAAATGGTGTGGTGTGTGCTATTATTAGGATTTATCAGTATTACATGTGTAAAGAGATGTTCTTCAGAATGAAATATCAAATAGAAGGGAGAAAAGATGGAATGCATAGCCTTTGAGGTCGACGATCAAGTAAAATGTAGAGAAAGAAAGGACGCCGTTAGATGTGGATCGAGTTAACGGAAACTCCACCCGAAGTCGGAAGGGCCGTACACTGTCATCGAGAGACGTGGTCCCGTTCATACCATCAAAAAAGAAGATAAGCAGAAAAGGGTTAACATTGATCAACTGCAGAAATGGATTTAGTGGGATGAGGGCGCCAGGACCAAGGTACATCAAAAAGAGGTAGAACCAAGAAGATCGGAACGGCTGCGTTCGAAACGATTTGTTAGGGGGACGAGTGTGGCGTGTGGTACTCATTAGATTTATCAGTAGCATATATATCTTCGTCACTCAGCCTGCATCAACAACAAAATTCCGATTTTCAATACAAACGTCAAGTCAGTCACTTCTTCTATATGGATCAGAAACTTGGCGAGTCACAAAGAATATTTCCAACAGCCTGTTGCAGACCTTTATCAACATCTGTCTTCACTCTATACTGAAGATCAGATGGCCGGCCTGAAAGAATCACCAACAAGAAACTATGGGAAGAAACAAAACAAGAACAAAACAGTCGCCCAACAAATATGCAGGAGAAAGTGGAGATGGATTGGACACTCGCTGAGCTGAGGAGGCCGTTGGGTGACATCGCGCGTCAGGCCATAGCTCGAGTGGAACCCGAAAGGGAAGCGGCGAGTTGTGGGACGTCCAAGGGTGACATGGAGGAGATCGTGTTAAGAGGAGTTGAGGCAGTATGGACTAACATGGATGCAGGTGAAAAGTATAGCAGAAGACAGAAGCAAGTGGAGGCGTGCAGTTGAAGCCCTATGTTCCACTAGGAATCCAAGGGAACAATAATAATAGTAATATATATAAAGATAGGTCAATCGACATAAAACATCAAATAACTGGGAGACAGATTTGATGACAGAGAAAGCAAATGATACAGCGTTGCGGAGATACAGGGGAGACTTGAAAAGAACACAATATGAAGGGCAGAAGTAGCTCAACAAAGAAGATTTGTGCCAATAGTGCGTTGAAGATAAGGTCTACATAATTTGGCTATATAGAGATACCAAATTGCAAATAAACATTCTTTTTTACAACAATTAGTTCCCTTTATGAATTCAGGCAAAGTAATAAGAAAACATATTTTATCTGAATCATGTAATGTATATGCGCAACACATTTTGAACAATCTGATCCAGCACACACGGACTTGTCCCAGGAATATATATATGAAATTAATAAAGAGTTACGAGGTGAGAAAATAAACTTAGGTCAAGTTGAGAGGACATATTGAAGGTCAAAATGAAAATGAAGATCACTAAATCAAGTAGGAGAGGTAATAGTACATCTACCCTAGCTGGTATCAAAACAAATTTGCCAAAGAAGGTTTAATGTGATGATGAATTGCTGCTTTGAACACATAAATGGTGAGAATAGGAGACCTAACTCCTCTATTGCGAAATATATTATAGAGACAGTACATAAAATTGATGCTTACACGTCTTTTAAACCTATCTATAGAACAAGTTTTGGGGAGGGCGTATCCTAAAGTTTGTGGAAGCCCTAGCAATTAGGAAGTTTGAAACACGTTTATGCGTTCATAAACAATTCATCATCACATTAAACCTTCTTTGGTAAATTTTGTTTTGATACCAGCTAGGGTAGATGTACTATTACCTCTCCTACTTGATTTAGTGATCTTCATTTTCACTTTGACCTTCAATATGCTCTCCCAACTTGACCTAAATTTATTTTCTCACCTGGTAACTCTTTATTAATTTCATATATATTCCTGTGACAAGTCCGTGTGTGCTGGATCAGATTGTTCGAAATGTGTTGCACAAATACATTACACACACGATTCAGACAAATTACGTCTTCTTATTGCTTTGTCTAAACATTCTTTTACCATGTCTTCCATCTTCTACCGTCACAATGAGATAGAGCGTGTGTGGAAGAAATGAGTGCTTGTCGGCAATAGTGGAGCTAGCTAAGTAGGACTCCAGAGAACAAAATGAAATGGAGATCAACTGTTCAAGCCGTATGTCCCCCTCGGAATCCACGGAAATAATAATAACATAATAAAACCGTTGTAATCAAGCCTGAATCTAACTGTGTCTTTTCCATGTGTTTTCTTTTCTTCTATAGGCGTAAGGCTATTTCTGGAAATTGGAAATCAAATACTGGGTCAGCTCTCCTGGAAAAAGTTCCAATGAATGATAAGTGAGTCCAACCAAAGTCTCGTCTTTCGATCTACTCTATTAATTTTTTCCTAGTCATTTTAAGTTCTTCACACTTGTTTCAGATTGGCAAACATTTTATTTCTTCAATAGTTGGTTCTTAAGGATTGATATCAGTTAGAAAACTATTGGAAACTAGGGAGTACTGGACAGCTGTTTCGTCCAGCTAGTTTGGGAATCATCGGCAGTACTCCTCCACTTCGCCAGAGTTCGAACCAAGGACCTTCCGGACACTAGGCATGCTCGTATTCTAACTCTTGGAAATTAATCTGTTGCTCGCTAGTGACTTACTACAGGACGGAGTTTCCTGGAGTTCTAGAGAGAAGTCGTCATCAGTGGGGTCCACCCAGTCAGGAGTAGGGGTGGATTTACCACCAATGACATTGGCTGGTGGTCACGCTAAATGCATCACAAATTAGTAGAAGTTAGAATTCATGGGTTGGCGGCCATTGAATCGGGTCCCAATGGCTGAATGGTATACGAGCCAGCTTGCCTTGTAACTGGAAGGTCCTGGGTTCGAGCCCTGACGAGGTGGGTGTGTACTGCCGATGATTCCCAAACTAGTTGGACGAAACAGCTGTCCAGTACTGCAGTGCTGGTTTTCAATGGTTCTCTAACTGATATCACTCTGTGGTTAAACTCGAATAAAATGAGCTTGTAACATAAACGTAGCATTTTATTACATGTCTCAGTCACCAAGTAGTGGATGTAACATTCTTAAAATGATGCACAAAAAAGATGTCGCGAAATATATGGAAATGCAAAATTCGAAATTCCCTACATTCAAAACAAATAAGAAATAAATATAAATATTCATTCTCAAACTTGGCAAATGAACGAAACTTTTTTTCCTCAAGGCATTGTTATTTTTTCCTTTCTATTTCCTCTTCAAAGGTAACGAAAACTTTATTTCTCTTTAAGATTGATGAGAAAAGTTTTATTTTCAGTCTGATTTTTATGTTTTTTTTTCGCAACATTTTTGTATGCTTTTCTCTTCTGGTAGGTCTGTTTTTGTCTGTAGAAAGTTATAACCTCATGTAACGAACGACCAGTCGAACTGGTAAACTTAATTTAGACTTCAATCTAATTTGAGAAGCGATAAACATTTGATTTCGTTCTCGATAATAGTAACATCTGTGTAAATGATGTTATAAGCTCAGTGACAGTGACTTGTTGGTTGTCGTCTAACTTGACTAATATACGTCTCCAGACAACTGACCAGTCAGAAATATTCCCCACATTGAGTAGACACACAGAAGTCAAATTTAGCTGAGACAGCTCTGGCGACAACAACGTTTTATTGTTGTTCACAAAACAGATTATACACAGTATTTTGGTACAACTATGGAATTTTCAGCATGTGAAAGCGGTAGCCCAAATCTTGCAGGCTGACCATCGACATCAGGGGTGTGTCGTTTGAGGATTGACCGCCGGACTATGTGCATGGTTGTCGAGCGTCTTAACCGCTGTACCACAAACGCACTATCGTTTTCACATCAACGGAAATTTAAACCATAAGTAGATAAGTGCAGAATAAAATGGTACCATCATTTATTTCGTTGGCTTCTCATCATCTGCTTACAGCCCAAAGACATTATTAAGTATTAAGTACAGAAAGAATTTCAACATACTTACGCAGAGAGTTCATTTTTGAACAAAAAATCAATATATGCCTACAATGGTAATAATAATAACTTTATCCCAAACAATAATTATCATACACACTGGAATCTTTCGGCGTTGCGTAATCAAACAAAAGAGAGGATGAAAACATCCAGTTACCAGGACAAGGAAAGACTGATAGCAGCTTCTTTCTGGACGCATAAATCGGGTTTCAATCGCTTGATGGAGGTTACTTTGGCAAACTTGTGGAGAACTGAACACTTTTGCTTATTGATAATTGTGGACGATTTTGCGACGTTCACCTCATGACCTGTGTCAAGCAGATGCCTAGCAATGGCACTGTTGAAAGCATTTGTTCCCTTGAGATGTAGACTTCTTGGTACATGTTCAGAAAATTGGAGGTGTGCCATTCTTTCTGCTCTGATTGATTGCATGTCCTTCAAATTTCCTCCAAAATCAATCAATCAATCGAAAATTATTGTTCCATAAGGTTACAATGGCAGCGTATGTATCAACATTAACTTCAAGGCTTACAAAAAACGTTAGTCCATATTATTAGTATTCTTCCCTTGGGTTCCTAGTGGAACATAGGGCTTCAGCTGCATATCTCCACTTGCTTCTCTCTTCTGCTGTACTTTTCACCTGCATGCTTGTTAGTCCATACTGTCTCAACTATTCTTCACACGATCTACTCCATGTCACACTTGGACGACCAACACGCCGCTTCCCTTCTGGGTTCCACTCGAGCTATGGCCTGACGCGCGATGTCACCCAGCGGCCTCCTCTGCGAGTGTCCAATCCATCTCCACTTCCTCCTGCATATTTGTTGGGCGATTGTTTTGTTCTTGTTTTGTTTCTTCCCATAGTTTCTTGTTGGTGATTCTTTCAGGCCGGCCATCTGATCTTCAGTATAGAGTGAAGACAGATGTTGATAAAGGTCTGCAACAGGCTGTTGGAAATATTCTTTGTGACCCGCCAAATTTCTGATCCATATAGAAGAAGTGACTGACTTGACGTTTGTATTGAAAATCCGAATTTTGTTGTTGATGCTGAGTGACAAAGATTTCCAGATTGGTTACAGGTTGATGAATGTGTTTCTCGCCTTTCCCAATTCTCGATTTGACATCCTCGTCGTCCGTTCCTCCTGTGGTTGAGACAATGCTCCCTAGATAAGTGAATGAAGTAACCTCTGTCAAATCCCTCCTGTTGATGATAATTGGCGCTGGATATTGCTGCTGTTGTTGTCGTTGTTGGTTGATTGGTTGGTTGGTTATTTTCATAACCTCCGTCTTTTCTATGTTCACCTGGAGTCCTGTCTTCTCTGGCTGCTTCTTCGACCAGTTTGTCGGTTTTCGCTTGTAAGTCTTCGATTTTGTGTGACATCAAACATAAATCATCCACGCGCGAAATCCAGGTCTTCCATGTTCTTCACATCGGTCCAGGATATCCCTGTCTTCTCGTTTCCCACTGTCTGACGCATAATCCAGTCCACCACAATTAGGAATATCATTGGTGATAATAAGCACCCTTGTTTGACTCCTGTGCTTAGCCCAAACGCCTCGCTGAGTTTTCCGTTGTGGATCACTTGATATGTGCCATTGTCGTACAGCTGTTGAATAAGGTTGATGAATATTTGGGGTACGCTGTAGCACTCGAATTGCAGTTAGTCCGTACTGAATGTAATGACTCTCTTGTAGTCAGACGAAAATTATCACACTGTGTAAATTTGATAAAAGGTCGCCGCACTGATGAAAACGTCACAGACAGAATCGGAGAAGCAAAGCAGACCTTCATTGCTTTAAAATCAATGTTGAAATCTACTGCATTCAGCCTAATGAACAAGATCTACTTCTTCAACATAAATACCAAGTCAGTTTTTCTGTTAGAGTTCAGAAACCTCGTGTCCGCGTCACGAAAAGCACTCCAAACAGGCTTCATACATTTAATAATAATAAAGCTTTATTTCAGATAATATGAGAACATTTAGCACAAAAACATTCTGCGTATTTAGTCCCAAAATATTTCTAATTTATACGGGATTTTTATGTAAAGTGATAATCTGAAGCATGTCAAATGACTTAGTATTGTTATATATGAAGAGAGAGCCAATTCCGAGCATTTTATCGTCATTTCCTCCAAAAATTGCACAGAGTTTAGTTGGAGACTAATTAAGTATGTGGAAGAGTTCATGTAGAGTGATAAAACAAAAAGAAATGCATAAGAGTCTAAGCATTTTGATGGATAGAAATTCTGGTAGACCAATAATTTAGGCAAGCCGCCAGCTCCTTTCGCTGGCTCAATACTGAAGATCAGATAATCGATAGGAAAAGACAAGCAACAAGGAGATATGGCAACAAACTAACTAACCAAAACCTATCACCTACAAAGTATACCGAAAAAGTGCAGGTGGACAAGACACATACTGAGGAGACAAGTGAATGCCATAGAGCGCCAGGCCCCAGAGTGAATTTCAAACTGGAAACGACAAGTTTGGTGTAGCCCCAACTGTGAGATGAAGGCAGTTGTCGAACCAACTAAAGGCAGTTGAGAGAAGAGAATGAAATAGTGGTGTACTGCTGAACCCCTATGTTCCACTCGAAACCCAAGGGAATGATAATATATATATCTGCCACACTGAGTTAGACACAAAGGTTGGATTTAACTATGACAACGACAACAACAGCGACAACCTTTCATTATTCTATATATATACAGCTTACTTGGTTTACAAATCCTCGGAAACTTATACTGGATCCAGAGACTGAAGCGGATATGCTCACGCTACTAGTAGAAAAAGTTTGAAATGAAGAAAAGATGCATGCTGAAATGTAGAAAAGTCACCTTGTCAAACTACCAAAGAAGGACGAATTAGGCCTCTGCAAGAACTGGCGCAGAATCATGCTCTTGTCCACGCCAAGTGAAATATCAAATTGCATCATCCTGGAGAAACCGAGTGATGCATTGGATGCACAACTCCGACTAGAACAAGAAGATATCAGGAGAAGCAAATCATGCAAGGATCAAATTGTAACACCATGCATCATCGTCGAAAGAAGCATAGAATGGCAGCTGAACGTCTATCTACCTCAGCCTCATCCACTTTGAAAAGGTCTTCGACAACATTGAGCGTGAAGTAATTTGGAAACTACTTTAACACTATGACATGCCCCATATCTTTATGAACTTTATGACAATGCCACGTGTCGGGTGATCCACAATGGAAAACTCAGTGAGGCCTCTGAAGTGAAGATAGAAGTAAAGTGAGGAAGGCTGCCTACTATCACTGATGATATTTCTGATTGTGATGGACTGAATCATACGGCACACTGTGAGTGGTGAGCGAGAAGACAGGAATACGCT